ACAAAGCATTGCATGTGTTTGTGCATGGAGCGTTGCACGGGTGTGTGTATGTACAGCGTTGCACAGGTGTGCGTGAGCGTTGCACAGGTGTGTGTGCATAGAGCATTGCGCGAGTGTGTACGGAGCATCGCATGGATGTGTGTAGTGTACAGCGTTGCACATGTGTGCGTGAGCAACGCACAAGTGTGTGTGCATAGAGCATTGCATGAGTGTGTACGGAGCATCGCATGGATGTGTGTAGTGTACAGCGTTGCACGTGTGTGCGTGAGCAACGCACAAGTGTGTGTGCATAGAGCATTGCACGTGTATGCGTAGAGCATTGCATGGATGTGGGTATGTACAGTGTTGTACATGTGTGGATGAGCATTGCACGGATGTGTGTATGTACAGTGTTGCACGTGCGTGCATACAGAGCATTGCATGCGTGTGCATAGAGCATTGCACAAGTGTGAATGGAGCATTGCACAGATGTGTATATGTATAGCATTGCACGTGTGCATAGAGCATTGTACAAGTGTGTGTGCAAACAGCACTGCACGTGTATGCCTAGAGCATTGCACAAGCATGTACAGAGCATTGCATGGATGTATGTACAGCGTTGCACATGCGTGCATAAAGCATTGCACAAGTGTGTGTATACAGCATTGCATCTGTGTGTAGAGCACTGCACGAGAGTATGCATGGAGCATTGCATGTGCGTGTATAAAGCACTGCACAAGAGCACTGTATGAGTGCATATGCATACAGAGCATTGCATGTGTGTGCATACACTATTGCTTCTGTGCATATAGCGCGCTGCATGTGCATGTATAAAGCATTGCACAAGCCTGTGTGTTCATACAGCACTGCATGAGCATGTGTGCATGCAGAGCACTGCATGTGTGTGTATAGAGCACTGCACGAATGTGTGTGTGTGTGCACAGAGCATTGCACACTGTGTGCTGGGCGTTGTGTGTGTGTATGTACAGAGTGTGTGTACAGAGAGCGTGTGCGTGTGTGTGCACTGGGCGTTGCAAAAGTAATGTGCATCAGGCCCTGCACACGTTGGTGCTGGATATGGCGCATGGGGGTGTGCTGGGTGTTGTAGGGGTGTAGCAGGCATTACACCTGCGTGCTGGCTGTTGGCACGTACGTGGTTGTGCTGGGATGCACCGCACACCTGTGCCGGCCATCGCCCATGTCCTCTGCCCAGCGCCGCTGCGGCAGGGTGGGCCTGGCGCAGCCGGGCTGCGTGTCGCTAGATGGCAGCACGGCCACGTGGCGTGGGGGTGGCAGTGCCACCGTGTCACCGTCCCCACGGGCGGCCGGGCCAGGTCCCGCAGCCCCCCTTGTGCCAAAGGCGGCGCCCGG